GATCTGTGCTACCACATTATCGCGAGACAACTCCCACAAGGAGATAACTCGATCAACTATATTACCCCGCGACGAGACAACTCCCACGAGGAGATAATTCGCTACTACATCGTCGCGGGACAACACCGACGACTCAAACAACTTACATAGCGACAACTTGGTCGCGCTACGCGCCAACGCGCATTCACGCCCCTCCGACACACGCTCCAACGCGTTTTCGCACACCATCGACTACTACAATTTTCACTCTCGACACGATCTGTCACCCATTTCAACATGGCCCCACATCGACTCGAGAGTGGGGGGCTTAATGATATGCCTAGTTGACCCAACCCAATGGGCTTACAAATTATTTACCTACTGGGCCACGAGCCCAATATCGAAGACTACTATCACCGAGGCCCAATCACCTTCTAGTATTGGGCCCGACAATCTCAACTAAGCTATAAATAAAGGTTTGAACTCATTCCTTAAGGTACGTCCTATTAACTGAGCAATACTACAATACGTATTCTCTGGACTATTTCTATGATCAGCACGTCTGACTTGAGCGTCGGAGGGGTTTCCGCCGGATCAACCCCCGGCGTAGTTCACGTGTTCTATGATCGCAGGTACCTCAGGATCATCAAGTTGTCAAGCTACTGATCCGCTTTGCTCTCCCAGTTCGTTTTCTACACTACCCCAGGTGATCTAAGTAATTAGCATCATCATTGTGGCACAAGTTACATTTAATTCTCGTATAATTAGAATCCAAGGGATTCTAACACTTCTAATCCAACATTTCATGAAAGGATCAAGCACATCGAAATTGACTGCCATTTTGTGAGACAAAGAGTTGTGTCTGGTATTCTTAAACTCATGCCAGTTCCAAGTAAAGATCAGCTGGCCGATTTGTTCACCAAGGCCCTTCCTTCCCCTAGTTTCACTTATCTTCTGGCCAAGATGGAAGTCAAGGATGTATACTCTCCATCTTGAGGGGGGGGGGGGGGTGTATATATATATATATATATATATATATATATATATATATATATATATATATATATATATATATATATATATATATATATATATATATATTTTATATTGATAAATGTAGATATAGTTTTACTTTTATGTTATATAGAAGTTGTTATTATTTTAAATAGCACTTCTTTCTTTCTTTAATTAGAAAACACGTTGTTACATGATTGGATATAAATATCCAACTCATCTCTCTTGTAACGGTAACTTCACATATTCTGTTACATGAATAAAGCATTCCTCATCTCTGCAACTCCTTCTTCTCCCTATCATCTTTCTTCTTCTTCATACTGATAATCAGTAGATTAACATCCGCTTTAACGATTGATCACAAAATTAACGATAAAAGTTGTGAATAAATAAAGGGACATGTGTCAATAAGAAAATATTGAAACACATGGAAGGAAAAGAGTGAATGAATGTGGAGAGAAAAGAGGTTGGAAAGTCCCAAAGTCCAAGTGTACGTCCTATAACTAAGATTTGAGGAATAATTTTCAATTTTCTGAAAACAAAAGGATGAATACTGTTGGAAATGGTGACAAACAATTCCATACGTATAAAAGTGATTGATGAGAGCACAAAATTGCACTAGTGGGGAACTAAAATTGACAAGCAACAAGTATGTAATATTATAATTGACAGAAAAAGGGCAACTTAATTGCATCTTCTCAACTTTCAACACGTCTCATTGCCTCAAGCTTAAATAGTCTACGAGGAAAATAATTTAAAGACACTTTTTTTAGTGTTTTTTTTAAGTTTTTTTTTCTTTGTTTTTTTTTTTTTTGCGTCTGCCGCGAAATGTTGACCGTAATTGTGCTGTCACTGACAGTGAATTAACGTAATTATGCTGTCAATGACAGTTAATTAACGTAATTGTACCGCCGTTGACAATACATTTATATAATTGTTCTGCCGTTGACAGTAAATTAACGTAATATTATTATTATTATTTTTTTGTTATTTTTTTTATTTTGTTTGATTTGTTGACAAGTCAACGTAATTATATTATTGTCCTTGACAGTAAAATAACTGTAAAGACAATAATATTACTGTCAACAACATATATATTATTATTTATTTGGGTTTTTTTGTTTTGTTTGAGTTATTCACGGAGTAACGTAATAATATTACTGTCTATTATTGTAATATTACTGTAAACACAATAATATTACTGTGGTTGACGGTAATATTACTGTTGTTATAGTAATATTGCTGTCAACCACATCAATATTATTATTTTGTGTGGATTTTTTTGTTTGTTTGAGTTATTCACGGAGTAACGTAATAATATTACTGTCTATTATTGTAATATTACTGTGGTTGACGGTAATATTACTGTTGTTATAGTAATATTAATGTTACTCAGAGTAATATTAATTATTTTAGTTTTTTATTATGTTTACATTAGTTGAACGGTCAACATAGTAATATTACTCTATTACACAATAATAATGAGTTTTGTTGTGTTAATATTACTGTGCTAGAGATTAATATAGCAATATTACTGTGTTAAACTGTAGTTTAGTTAATTTTACTGTGTTTAACAGTAATATAGTTAATATTACTGTCAATCACTGCAATATTGCTGTTTAAACGAAAAAAAAAATGTTACAGAAAGAAAAAAAAATCGAAAAAGTCAACGCCGGAAACCGGCGAAAAAATCCGGAAGGAAAAAAAAAACTGAAAAGTCAACGCCAGAATCCGACGGCAAAAAAAATATTTTTGAAAAAAATAGTTTTGGGTCAAAATTGGATAATTTGTGAAATTTGGGGTCAAATTGAGGTTAAATTAAATTAAGGATTAAATTGGAGTATATTAAAGTATAATGGGCTATTTTAGTCATTTACAAAAATCTGACCATGTGTGGACTTATTTATAAATAAGTTTTTTGTCTCGATCTCTTTATGAATAAGTACCCATTGATAGGCTTATTTGTAATAACCCCTAAATAATATTTAATCAAATACAAAAAGGCATATGGAGAGTTGATACCTAGCCTTACCAATATGGTAAAGGTCTAGGGTTCGAGTCCCCCCTCCCCTATTTCCACTTGTAAAGGACTTGAAAATTTACTAAAAAACATAATTTTACAAAAAAAAAAAAAAAAAACAAAAATAATAATAATAATAATAATAATAATTGCCGTAATCAAATACAAAAAGTCATATGGCTGGATTTATTTAGCCCAAACTCGTTCACGAAATTTGGGTTAGATTTATTAGTCTTTGTTGGAGTATTTTAATTAAAAAACATATATTTTATATAAAATATAATAA